GTGAGTGAAACTGGAGAGATTGATGACTGAGTGAAGTTGAGGGCCTGAGTGAGAGTGATATTTTGGGATCGGGCTGCACACCGCAACATATTATATTGATTATATCTTATATGGATCGGATATATATATATATATATATATATATANGTTGGTGACATTTATGATTTTACATGTATCTTGACATGTAGTCATAGAGACGAACTTTCCTCATGCTATCTGAAAATGAAACATCTTACTTATTATTGAAAGAAGTTTTGGGAAAAAATCACAGTTTTCAAACTTACTCGTATTTTGGCATTTTCGGTAAAAGATTTGCGTTTTTACTGAGATACTTGAAAAGAAATGTCTATTTTTCTAGAACTGTGAACGAACTGAGCATTTTATTTCAGAGACACCTCTTTTATTACTTGTACTATGCTATTATGAACTGTTGTGGAATATTGGTGTTGGACCCGACCTTCGTGTTAGCTCGTCACTACTTTCAACCTAAGGTTAGGTTTGTTACTTATTGAGTACATGGGATTGGTTGTACTCATACTATACTTCTGCACCTTGCGTGCAGATGTTGGCTGCTGATGTTGCTGTGTTCGATGGGAGCTGGATTGAAGATGTACCTACGTCCTGGCTGTAGCTGCCTCTTGTTCGTGGTAGCTTTAGATCTGTAAAACTCTGTTTATGTACTATTCAAACAGACTATGTATTTATTTCATTTCCACTTTATAAATTCTATTCTTAGAAGCTCATGATTTGTACTACCAGTTCTTGGGGAATGTATAAGATTAAGATTTTTCTTTATTTAAATTGCTTTAATAATTGTTATCGGAATTGGATATTTGATAATTGGCTTACCTAGCGGGTTGGGTTAGGTGCCATCACGACTAGTCGGATTTTGGGTCGTGACATGCCTTGGATAAGGTCAAGATTATTCAGGATCGACTTCGCACAGCTCAGTCTAGGCAAAAGAGTTATGTCGACCGTAAAGTTCGTGATATTGCATTCATGGCAGGAGAAAGAGTATTGCTCCGGGTTTCACCTATGAAAGGTGTAATGAGATTCGGAAAGAAGGGCAAGTTGAGCCCTAGGTATATCGGACCCTTTGAAATTCTTGAACGGGTGGGTGAAGTAGCCTACAGGCTTGCACTATCACCTAGTTTATCAGCAGTTTATCCGGTGTTACATGTGTCTATGCTCTAGAAATATCATGGTGATCTGTCTCATGTATTAGATTTCAGCTCAGTCCAATTGGACAAAGATTTGATTTATGAGGAGGAGCTGGTAGCTATTCTAGGTCAGCTGGTCCGACAATTGAGGTCTAAGAGTTATCCTTCAGTTCGGGTTCAATGGAGAGGTCAGCCAGTAGAAGCATCTACCTGGGAGTCCGAGTCGGACATGCAGAGATATCCACACCTTTTCACCAGCTCAGGTAATTTTCTAATTCCGTTTGAGGACGAACGTTTGTTTTAGAGGTGGAGAATGTGATGACCCAAAATATCATATTTAATTTAAACATTCATTTATGTGTTCTAAGACCTCAAAAAGTACTATTTATCATTCCTCGACTTGCGTGCACAGTCCGTATAATTTTTGGGAAAGTTTTTATGTAAAACATTAATTAAAATGTGAAATAGTGCTTCAAAACTCATCCAAGTTGACTTTGGTCAACATTTTGAGCAAATGAACTCGGATCAGTATTTTAACAACTCCGGTAGGTTCATATCGTGATTTGGGACTTGGGCGTATGCCCAGAATTAAATTCGGAGGTTCGTAGCTCAAATTATTGCCATTTAACGAAAACTAGAAATCTAAAGGCTAAAAAATTCTAAAGTTTGACCGCGGAGTTGACTTTATTGATATCAAGGCCGGAATCCAATTTTGAAAATTGAAATAGGTCCGTTATGTCATTTATGACTTGTGTGCAAAATTTGAGGTCAATCGAACTTGATTTGATAGGTTTCGGCGTTGAATGTAGAAGTTCAAAGTTCTTAGTTTTATTAAGCTTGCATTGGGGGTATAATTCATAGTTTTAGCGTTGTTTGATGTGATTTGAGGTTTTGACTAAGTTCGTATAATGTTTTAGGACTGGTTGGTGTATTTAGTTGAGGTCCCAGGGGGCTCTGGTGAGTTTCAGAAGGTTAACGGATCGAAATTTGGACTTAAACTGTTGCTGGAAATTTTAGTCTTTTGGTGCAATTGCACCTGCAGAATTTAGCTCGCAGGTTTGGGCTGAGGTCGAGGTCAAGGTCGCGACCAGGCATGGGTCGAGGTCGAGGTCGCGACCAGGCATGGGCCGAGGTCAAGTTTGCGACCAGGCATGGGCCGAGGTCGAGGTCGTGACCAGGCATGGGCCGATGTCGCGACCAGGCATGGGCCGAGGTCGAGGTCGCGACCAAGCATGGGTCGAGGTCGAGGTCGCGACCAAGCATGGGCCGAGGTTGAGGTCGAAGAAGCGAGCAGTTGAGGCCGAGGTCGCGACCAGACATGAGTTGAGGCCAAGGTTGCAGTAGCGATTAGACATGAGTTGAGGCCGAGGTCGAAGAAGCGAAAAGCCCTGGACAGAACATATAAATTCGGGGGTTGACCATATTTACCCATTTTTGGATTTTAAGAGCTCGGGTGAGGCAATTTTCAGGAGATTTTTCAAGGAAAACATTGGAGTAAGTGTTCCTTATCCTATATTGATTATAATTCATGATTCCATACTCATTTACATCATGAATCCGTGAATTTATGGAAGAAAAATCAGATTTATATTTATAAAATCTTTCAAAAACGAAATCTAAGATTTGAAGGTCCATTTGACATCGGAATTTGATAATTTTTATATAGTTGAACTCGTATCAGAACGGGTGTTCGTATTTTGTAAGTTTTTTCGGGATTCGAGATGCGGGTCCTACTGTCAATATTTTTTAAAATAAATTTCGGATTTTAATCCAGAAAATTAATAAATTCATATGGAATTATTTTCTATGATTCGTGTTGAGTATATTGAATTGTTTGTGACTAGATTTGAAGCTTTCGGACACGAATTCGCGAGGAAAAGGTGTATTGAAATCTTGAAATTTGGTTTTGAAGCGAGGTGAGTGTCGTGGTTAACCTTGACTTGAGGGAATAGAACCCTTGAATTATTTGTTACGTTAATTTCATGTGTAACAACGTATAGGCGAGGTGACGAGTGCCTATACGTTGTCAAATTGATTATTTGCCTATTTATCAGAAAAATTATAAATTAATTTAAATCATGAATTAATTATTATATTAATTATTTCTCTCATATTCCTTGTCCAATATTATGTCTTGAATTCATGCTATAATTGCTGCATGCTTATTTGACTTATGTGTCTCAATTGCTACTTGACATTTAGCATATTAAATATTAAATTGCCTATTTTTTCCCTGATTTTCACAATTAATTGCTACATGTCATTATTTGTTTCATAAATAAATTATAATTATTGTATGCCTTGTTTCTTAATAATTTCTTATTGAACGTGGTATTTATTGTAGTATTTTTATTACATTTAAGAGTTGTTAAATTATATTGCTGGAGCGGGTTGCACGCCGCAACAGAAATAAAAATGAATATATTGGGGGATCGGGTTGCACGTCGCAACAGATTTATTTAAAGTTTATATTGTTGGAGCGGGTTGCACGCTGCAACGGAATTTAATTGAAAAGTTATATTATTGGATCGGGTTGCACGCCGCAACGAAAATAAATTGGGGGATTATGACTGTTGAATTGACTTCAATTATTGATATTATTTACCGGTCTTACTTCTATTCCTGTTATTGTTATTATTACTGCGTACATGTTAATGCAAGTGACCTGTCTTAGCCTCGTCACTACTTCGTCGAGGTTAGGTTCGAAACTTACTGAGTACATGTGGTCGGTTTTACCCATACTACACTCTACACTTATTATGCAGATATCGGAGTTGGTCCAGCGGCGTACAATAGATTTGCTCGGATTCAGCTATTCGCAGGAGACTTGAGGTATAACTGCATGACGTTCGTAGTTCTGAAGTCCCCTTCCACTTTATCGTAGCTGTATATTTCTCTCAAACAGCTTCATTTTATTCAGACCTTTATTTGTATTATTCTAATAGCTCGTGCACTTGTGACACCAGATTCGGGGATGTATTTGGATAATTCGTTTGTTATGGTCTTCCGCACTTTATTTCAGTAATGGATTTCTATTTAATTTAATTTATTTAGAAATGGCTAAGATTATTCTAACGTTGGCTTGCCTAGCAAGTGAAATGTTAGGCGCCATCACGGTCCCGAAGGTGGAAATTTCGGGTCGTGACAGTCCTTTACTTCATGTGTGTAGTGTAAATGTTAAGGACATAATGTCCTTAACTTATAAATACACATTCTGTTGTTAAACTTTAGGACCTCATGTCCTTAACTTCATATGTGTAGTGTAAATATTAAGTACACGGTGTTCTTAACTTTATGTGTGCAATGTAAATATTAAGGACATATTGTCCTTAACTTTATGAGTGTTGTGTAAATATTAAGGACATGGTGTCCTTAACTTCATGAATGCCGTGTAAATATTAAGGACAAAGTGTCCTGTATTTGTACCTTCCGTTGTTAAACTTTAGGACATCATATCCTTAACTTCATATGTGCAGTGTAAATGTTAAGGACATGCGTTCTTAACTTCATATGTGCCGTGTAAATGTTAAGGACACCACGTCCTTAATATTTACACAACACTCATGAAGAAAGAGTAAAATATCTTTTCGTATTAATTTTAATAGAGTAGTGGCTATTTTTGCTCACCATTAAAAATACTGGATAAAAACTAAATACCATGTTAAAAAGTGGCTATCCCACGCCATTTCTAACCTAGTCCATCCCATGAAGTCCAATGGGTTTCTGTGCTCTTTATGTATGTCTCCCAAGAGAGGCCCAGCAAATAGTCTGGAATCAAGCCCAACAAATTCAAGAACACTATTACATGTCGTCTTGGCCCAAAATTCTCAGATCATCATCATTGCAACGCCGCGCTTTATCTCCTCTTCTGCAACTCTCTCTCTCTCTCTCTCTCTCTCTCTCTCTCTCAGTCGCACTAACTCCATGGGCTCAGCTTCTGCACTCTCTCTATGCTCTCACTCAACGGTAAACCCATTCTCTACCTTCTACCTCATCCATTTACTATAAATAAACTAAATTCTCAAACAAAAATTAAAATCTAATTTCCCCTCTCTTTTTTTGTGGTAAATTTTAGGTGAATTTTGAATTTCATCGGAGAAAACTAGGGTTTGGAAGGGACCAAGCATTGAACAGCTCGTACAGCAGCTACGTTTTGCTTCCTATATCGCCGTCACTGTATTTTAGTAGTAGTTGTAGTAGAAGTAAATGCTTGCAATTGAAACGGGTAATTGTTCGAGCTTCCTCGTCTAGTAGTACCGGTTCGAGACGTTCGTCGAGTTCTCGGAGAGTTTACAAGGAATCACAAGCTCAAGCGCCAACATTACCTGTTGATCAAATTGCTTCTTTTGTTGTGCCCGCCGGTGCTTTTGTGGTTATCTCTTTTGGTATTCACATTTTGCCTTCTTTTTATCTTTTTTTGTACTGGATTTAGTGTTTGCTAATCTTTTACGAAGACTACTGGATTGAAGCGGAATGGATATAGAAGATGAGTTTTTACACTCAGTGTAGATTTTTGATCAGGTATAGTAATATTTCATGAATAGAAGCATCCAGAGGATCCAGAAACTGATAACAAAAGAGATAAATCTCCCTGCAAAACATACAACCATATCCACCGAAATACTCATGGAGCTTAGAAAATCAAGAAATAAAATAGGATTATCTACATCAAAATGGTTCCCTCAAACAAAATATTTAAGCAAACATCTTTTACGTCAACTATCAATGTAGTTTAACCTGTGATTGTAGGTTACTTACCTTTTTACCAATTAATATTTTGCGTAGAGATTTGCTTGGATAATCTAATAAGTGACCTGGTTGTATAAATATCTTTTAATCCATCAATTTAACGAACTTAAACTCTTTACACGAGTAGTTTGCGTTTTGTGTACTTTTAGCTTTAGTTAATACTAGTAAGTATACCAAGAATCACAATTCAAAGAAGTTTACATATAGGTCATTAAGATGAGATGTATCTATTGTTTCTGAGAGTATGAATATCTTTTAACTTAATTTTTTAATAGGGTCTCTCTCTCACTGCCTTTTACTTTCAATCTAACTTTTACACCTTACAACTTTGTTGAAATACTGTCGGTGTAGCGGATGCCGTAATGAGAATTGAGAAGAATTGGAAAAAATTTCAAAGGAAGATTGCTATTGGATTTTTGAAGCAGGATTAAAAATAATAAGCTCAAGTGTATGTTTTCCATTGTTTAGGTGTTTATTATTGTCTTTTTATGTTCTGTTTAATTTCTTGAGATCACAATTCCATCTTTTCGCATCAGCTTAAACTCAATATCAATGTACCTTATAACTTTTGCAAACTAAATAAAATTTGCTCGTTGTTGTTCTTGCATTCTTGCTTTTTTCCTCTTCGCCATGCCAAATTAGTGGTCTAGGAAAGGCTTTAATATTTAGGGTAGGGGGAAAATGTAAATGGTGTTCCAATTTAGGCAGATGCTGGAGATTGGCACTAGTCAAGGAAATAAGTGCAAACTTTTGAGACTAGGGTTCAAATCTCAGCAGAGACAACACTGAGTGATTTCTTCCAATCTGGCTATGCCTTAGTGGATAGAGTTACTCAGTACATGTGCTGATAGAAGGTGATAGGTACCCAATTGAATAGTCGGTGTGTGCACAAGCTAGCCCAAACACCATCATTATCCCAGTGAAATCTTTACCATTCTCCCAAAAGAAAAAACAATCAATGAATGCTTGAATAGGTCAGGCTTCATGCGGTATCCAAAAAGAAAGGAAGGCTTTCATGAGGTCTTGTGAGAAACTTTTCTACTTAATAATGAAGTTTCAAATTATCTGAGTGCTTGGCACTATGGTCAGACTCAGTAGTTCACCTATGAAGCTAAAGTCTTTAAAGCAGTACATCCTGCGGTAAATCACCCTCTTTTTATTAAGTTGTTTATGATTAAGATTTAAGAAAATAAGTGAACAGAAAAGAGCTTGTAATTGTCTTCGCATTTAGGCTCACATTTAGAACTTAGAAGTGCAGCACGTGTGTTCAAACTCAAACTTACAGTCATTAATTCCAGTTAGCTCGTTTTTGGTGTCCCAGCTTCTATTTTTGGTGTCTATGGCTAGAAAGGAATAGCAGATGCTTCGAAGGAAACTCTTCTTCTATTCATGCTTTGAAGTATTGATGCCTTACAATACTTTTTGCTGGAGTAAACATCACACTGTAAATGTTTTTGATCAGCTTTTTGACTTTATTAGCTCTTTAGAAGGCATATAGGGTGATCACTGTTTCAGGAGCTATTGCTTCTTTTTTTCTATTCTTTTACTTGCAATTCTCAGCATCTACTGGGTGCATTTTTAATTAATACATCTTACTTGATCAAAAAAATTCCAGTTAGCTTGTTACAGCAAAATAGGATTGCCGTTTTCATTTTTTAGGACTTTGTATCATTTTAAATGTTTCAGTGCATTTATTCCCATGAATGGATTGTGTACTTTGACATTTTGACCTACCTCTTATTTAGTTGGCAATCTGTTGCAACCATTTAATTGTTTCTTTTTCTTAATTATCTAATATGGGTTAGCCATTGGAAAATGTATATCCCCTCTAAGTCAGCGATTTCTCTTACAGCTTTTGAGGAATAGATGATGCAACAGCTTCACTAATTCATTCTTTGAACTAACTCTTTTCTTGTAATGAGGCTTGCTCAAGATGACCTTTAAGTCTGGTTGTCATCTTTTAGTTGTCAACTATAGTTTTATTCTTGATGGGATTGCCGTTAGTTCAAAAAAATTCCAGTTAGCTCGTTACAGCGAAATAGGATTGCCGTTTTCATTTTTTAGCACTTTGTATCATTTTAAATATTTCGGTGCGTTTATTCCCATGAATGGATTGTGTACTTTGACATTTTGACCCGCCTCTTATTTAGTTGGCAATCTGTTGCAGTCATTTAATTGTTTCTTTTTCTTAATTATCTAATATAGGTTAGCCATTGGAAAATGTATATCCCCTCTAAGTCAGCGATTTCTCTTACAGCTTTTGAGGAATAGATGATGCAACAGCTTCATTAATTCATTCCTTGAACTAACTCTTTTGTTATAATGAGGCTTGCTCAAGATGACCTTAAGTCTGGTTGTCATCTTTTAGTTGTCAACTTTAGTTCTATTCTTGACGGACATGTCGTGTGTGATGACTTGTCCCACATTTTATGCAGTCTTCATTTGACTGTCTCCTGAAAGTCAAGAGAATCAGGAAGGGGAGTATTCTTCTTAATTATGTAATTGCTAGAAATTAATAGAACTTTTAAATTTTGTTAAAGCTATTAGAGAAAGCGTCTTTATTTATCTTTATATCTACACATGTCCCCTCACTTGCGGGACTAGCTCTTTTCCAAGAGCCAAGTACATGAAAATTCATTGTGATACAAGTGGTGGTGAAACTTGAACTCAGGACCTTTGCCTGCTCTAATATAATGTTGAACCATATAATCACTTCATCTATAGTCCATACCCTCAATAATGTGGAATTCTTACCAGAATCATTAGTAATTGTGAAAAATATTCTTAATGATAATGTCATAATATTTTAAGAATTCCAAAAGCTAGAAAATCTAATGTAATGTAGGCTAAACATCCTATATAAGGAGCCATGTTGTGTTCTGTTAAGAATTATTTTTTCCAAAGATTTCTTCTTTTTCCCTTTTCAAGTGTTACATATCTTAGCAAGGGCTTAAATAATTTCTGCCTATCGACGTGTCGCAGTATACGGCCAGCCCGACCGACATTCCTTTTTTTTTTGTGTGTGTTTTACTAATCGTGCCTCTTTCTTATTGATCCTTCTGGTGTCACTTTCTTTTTGATAGCTGTTCTGGTGTTATCGTGTCTTTCTGATGGCACCACAACTTTTCTAGTACTTTATAGGTTACTATTTAGTGCCAGTTCGAGTTGCATCATTGATGTCCTAGAGATTTACCTGACCTTATTTCTTTTTCGTAGACAGTAATTCCTTGTCATGCGTGCTGCAAGAAGCACTTTCTTTCGCTATGCAATTACTAGTAACTTTTCAGGAGAAAAAAATTCCACCACTGCCTTCTCATTTTGGTGATCGTTTTCTACTGACAGGACATTCAGCAACTATTTCCTCCAGTGACTTTTTGGTATTTCTTCTTGAGAAATATCAAGTTATTTCACCATTTTGAATTTGAAGAGGCATGTTTAAGTCGAGAGAATCGTTTAAAATATTGTTAATTTTTTTAGTGATTATGTTATTCTTGAAAGTCAAGTGAATCAATACTAATATTGTCTAAGATTTTCTTAATCATTATGTTATATTAATTAGAATCCTAAAGTTAGTAAACTTCCTTCTTAATGTTTTTTATGGTTTAAACTTCCTAAATCTTACTTAATATACCTCAACACATTTAGATAAGGAGTTCTCTTATATGCGGTTAACCTTTGATTTCAAAAAGAGTTTATTTCTCCTTTTTTTACACCGTCTCCGAGGGTTTACTGGAAATAACCTCCCTATCTTCATAAGGTAGGGGTAAGGTCTGCGTACATACTATTCTCCCCAGATCCCACTTGTGGGATTACGATGGGTTTGTTGTTGTTGTTGTTGTTTTTTACACTGTCAAATTCTTATAAACAATTCATCAAGCACTTATTTTATTGCTTCTAATTAATTCTAGCTTTTAGAGTTTTTTACATTCTCAACTTTATCAAAAAAGAGGTCTACATTCCCAAGAGCTCTTTCTACAACAACAATAACAACAAACCCAATCTAATCCCACAAGTGGGGTTTGGGGAGGTTAGTGTGTACTCAGACCGTACCTCTTCTTCAAAAAAGAATTGATGAAGCTGCTTAACTCTGCATCTTCAGAAAGAATAAAGTTCTTAGTTCTACCACATTGTTTCACTGGTTCCACCATTGACTATAGGCCCTTGCCATCTTCTATAGCTACTCCTTTCTCTTTGTACTTGTTACAAGTAGTATCCTTTGATTCCTTTCTACTTTAGCCGGTGATTTCTTTTCTGGAGGTTGAGTCCTTGTATGAACTTCGCAGTTTGACTGAAGAATATTTCTACCTATAACTGTGACCAGAAATAGTAATCTTAAATAAAAGGAAGATTATCTATATTGTGCTAATCTATGTGTTCAGTTGACAGTTTTGTGGAAGCTGGTGGAGAAAATTCTTTTACCCAAACCAGCCAAGACTTCATCAGAAGAAAGCAAATTTACTCAAGGAGTAAATTGGTTCGTCGTTCCTGGGACAAACTTGTTACCTGGTTTTGGTGAAAAGATTGAAAGAGAATCCAAGCTAAGGCTTAATGAGTTTGCTAAAGAGCTTAGATCTTTCAGCATTGTTGACATGTCAGGTAAAATTGCACTCAGTTGCTGACTCAGCTGCTTCACATATTAAAATTGGTGTTCAAACTATGCTAAGTGCTGTCATAAATAGATATCTACTTTTTTTTTGAAAAGCTTAGATCAGGAACTTTAATTGTTTATGGTTTTCAGGAAAGTGATGATGCCTGAAAAAGATTTGCCTAAACTTGTTAATTTTTAGCACCCACCCCACCCCTCAAAAGAAAACAACAAATACCAAAGATGTTGTGTTTTCTACCTTGCTTTGTGATAAAACATGTTTTGCTTACTGATAGTGTCTTAAGAAAATATCCTAGACTTGTTGC